CACCGTGCAATGTTTTAAATAAACATTTCATCAAACATTGAAATTGATATTTGCTATATCCGCATAACCCGGTGAACCAAGCGGCCGCGGGCAAAGCCGTATGTGTGCGTAATTGCTTTCATTACGCAGTCCTGAATCCTACTAGTAATTTTAGCGTGTGGATTTACACAGTTGTAAAATATCATTCTTACGAGCATATTATTAAATGCCAAATAATCGAAGTAAAAACTGGATTTTATGTTTTTTAATCCTCCGCGTCCTTAAACTGAAACTGCTGCAAACCCCATTCCCATGGGAACTTTGCTAAAACCGAAAATTATTTAAGTTTTGATTCTTGTGTCCCGTTCGAAAATCCTCTCCCTTCCACTAAAGAACAGACCGGCTGTGACTCAGGATCAGTACACGTGACATCAAATTAACGTTTTTATGAATAAAATTCATATCAAATAATCCGGTGTCTACCGAAGTTAAAGTCGGAGTAATTGACTTTTCGGAGCCCAGCACCAAAGCGTTTTTCAAATAATTTTAAGGAACAGTGAAAATAACCCAGTGCTGAGGAAGCATAAGGGGCCAATACAACCAAACCTAAGGCATTAGCTTCGAGGACATGACTATAACGGAAATATTTTTAAGCAACGCCGATAATTAATTCACCACCAGTTAAGGTTTCAAATAAAGTTTCGTAAAATATCCATGTCACTATCACCCTTAACTGACCTTTTTGGAGACTGGTAAACAAGGTGAGGTATAACTTAAACCGTCAAGAATACAATGGCGGTTGCAATCAAAATGTTTTACTTGTAAAAAAGAACAGTTAAAATTGCGTACTATTGGGAAATAGAGACAAGTATTATATCCCTAAAATTGCTGGCATATAACTTATCATTCAAACGTTTTTAGTAATGACACGTTTAGCATAGATACTTTGGGCCAATATCCCCCAGTAACGTATACGTAGTACGCAACTTGCGTAGAAGCTTTTGGCTTAAAATGAACATTTAATGTCGATTCAAGCCCTCCGCTAATCGGTCTGCAGTATTAAAAACTGGCCTATGGGAACGCAATAAATCGTTTGTGGACACAAACAAGGCAACCGACGCATGTAAAATTGCGTTGCACTCTCTTGCTCGACAGATTCTGAAAGACCAAAGGTGGATATGAGGCTGCGCCTAGGCATGCCATCTTCATCAACGTGTATTGTGGTCTTATCTCACCCCGCATTGGTCAAGCGTATCGAGTGCGTATTCTATTCTTTTTGGCTCTACCAAATGCTAAAATGCTCATATGCTAATTTTACATTTTAAATCTTCCGGAAAGATGTAATGAAGGGATATTAAAGAATGCCTCCTTAAAGTCTGCTTTCCGAAGTTTCTCTATTTAACTTCATTCCTATTACAATGTAAGCCTTGTCGTGCCGACAATCGTCGTGTTACATGTGCCAAGGCAAAAAAGGCTTTTGTCTGTCATTAAAAAATAGCCTGCAAAAAGCAATTCTGATATTACCAAGGAAATTATATTCAGTAAATTGCTTTGTTTATTTTGCGTACAGTTATGGACTAGAATCCTCAAATGTCTATAAACAAACTTGGTTAAATTGTCTACTTCCGATACAGAAAAATGCACGGCCAGGGGTTCATGACACCA